TATATATCATGTAGCAACATAAAAGATATACATGTATTATTATAGTAAATCATTTTTTCATATGAAAAGACAAAAACTACCTTTAGAATGTGTTAAAATCACAATTTCTAAACCTGTTCACCTATTAAAAAAAAAGAATGTTTGGAATGTAAAGAGAGTTTTATCTTATTAAACTTTAGTCTTGGACAAAAATAGCTTGATGTATAATCATATACCTACATTGTACATTTCATATACATACAATCACAACAAATTGTGTATTTCACATACATGTAATTCACCTATTGAGCAGCTAGGAATCTATCAATTTCCTATAATGCTAGATGCTTGAATACACAGGCACAAATTCATTTTTCAGAATATACATGTACCATCCTATAATAATATATCTTGATACATAATGATATATTGAACTATATTGACCATATATATATTGACTGCTCATGTATGGTAGTGTCATTGTTGGAATGCTAATATTTGAGAGGATACAGTGCTCACACTATGCTTGTTTGTGCAAAGTTATTTCTGATAGACTTTACAATTTTTGACATTTCTAGAAACTAAAGCAAAAACAATGCTAGCTCTATAACACAAGTCTGCTTTCTTGCAAGAATCATACAATTTACATAGATTCATAAACAATTTGAAGGCATGTCGTGTCATTCAATGGTAAAGGTACATTGTAGATAGATAAAGGTAGTCTCATAGCCTTTTTGAGGCCGTAGGGGCAGTGGGTTGTTATTTTGTGTCTAGGGTAAGGTATTGGAAGATGAAACCCATCCCTCTCCTTCCACTGCCTTTTACCTCCCCAACTAAGTCAGGTACCCATTTTACACCTGGATGAAGATAGCTGTATAACGTGCCTTTCCCAAGAACAAAACGTCTAGCCTGGAATCGAACCCACAACCTCTAGGTCTAGTGTCCAGTAGTCTTAACACTTGGCCATTCAACAACACCAGCAACATACAATTGCAATACAGGCAAGAAGCATTACTTTAATATGGAGTTTTGTGTACTAGAAAGTCTGTTATATAATAGTAGTACCATTTCCTTCTAGTTTTTAAATGTGTATACAAGAAAACTTAGTTGCTGATTTGTTGATGTTGAAATGTGAGTGTAAATTGACGAGTTCCTAAATGAAAATTTGGTTCACTGTACGGTATACGGTAATTTTGTATTGATTCAAAAATTGATATTTTGCATGACAAACAGCAATAATGAACAATTTTCTAGTGACCTCCACTAGATGGCGTACGAAATAAAAATAAGTAATCTATCATGTGAAGTCATGGCTAACGTTGGTCCCAGTAACATAAATACACAAAAGCTCCACCAATCCATTTTAAGTTGCACTGCAGTTGAGTATGCTGACTGTTCCCACAACACAATTCTAGGTAGATTTGGTCTAAGCTTTCTCTGATATGTCTGTCTAAATTTAAGAGGAATGAAAATGTTCTCTAAAATTCAGCTCCTACAACATGTATTCTACACTCTGGACTGCAACACACATTGTTTGAGGGAAGAAACTTCTCCGATTTTCTAAAGTTACCTCTCGGTTGATTCAACCTCTGAAGCGTCTGTGGGCTCGAGTCTCTGTTGTACATCGTATGATTCCTGCGTTGTAGTTCCCTGTTCCGTCAGACCTACCACGTTTCTGAGTTCTGTCCTTGTGTCCTCCATTATCTGTGAGACGAGATCGGTCGCCACCGTATCTTCTATCGTCGACTCCTCGGTAATTTGAATTGTCCCGCTCTCGAAGATGATACGCCGTTTCTCGCCTTCCAGCGACCTGCCCCGGTAGTGCGTGTATTGTTCTTCCGTCGCGTTGTCTCCGTCCGAACTCAACGTCTCGTCTTTCCCGGCTTCGTTGTCGAAGTCTTTGAAACTGTCGATGTGTTCGTCGCGGCCTTCCTCCCCTTCCTCCGGAACGGCGCCGAACTCCCGTTTGCTTTCGTCTCGTTCTGCGCTCTGTTGTTCCTCCTTCTCCTCTTCCTTCAGGAGTTGGAGCCAGCGCTGGTGGTTTCGTTTGATGTTTTCTGTGAGTGGACTCGTCACCTTACGAGGCTGCAGCTCCTTTTTCAGGCAAGTGGCGTCGTCATCAACTACGGAAAAAGGAGTCGCGGTACAAAAGAAACAACTTTCAGAACAGATAAAGAAAGATAAAGTTATAGGGTATGAAATTTAGGTTTTAGCATACATTACAAGATGTCTGAACGAAATTGTAAAAGAAGTTGTCTGATACTATTATAATAATTAAAAATAAAAACACTTTTTTGTTCTGAATCATGTCTTATTTTTCTTCCATCCCAGAGAAAAGTTCTTACCTGAATCATCGTCCTCTGGTGGTGAGGCTTCATTTTCAGAATCCCCTTTGCCTTCAAAAAGAAAGAAAAATTTGGGAAAAAGCGTCGGCTACAAATAACGGAGAGAAGCAGAACTCTAGACTAAGGCAAAAGCTCTGAGGAAGGTGTCTGATAGACATTAAAACCTGCAGCTATAATTTGTTCCTAGTCATCAATCAAACCTAGTGTTGTGGTACATTTTTTTGTAAGTGTAGTGGCAAAGTGAATGATGAGGTCCATGATTTGGCTCATATCTAGCTGTAGAGATTGGCGACAGTGTTTTGCACATTTGAATGAGAACGAGCCTTATACCTGCCGTGCTGCTCAGATCCTCCTCCTCCTCTACCCAGTGCCCGGGCAGCAGGCCGGCCGCGGCGTAGGCGTTACAGAGCGGGGCTACCAGGTGGTTAATGAAGGACTCCTGTAGCCGTGCTAGGAACGGCTTGTTACGGTCCATATAGGGAGAGATAGGGAGGCCTCGCCCTGCCTCATCATCACCCTAGAAAAAACATGTAAACATGTACAGTAGAAGCCGCTTATTTGAAAAGCCAATTTGTCAGCACATTTTTTTCAAATACCCGGCCTTTCCGATTAAGAGACTCTGACTCTGAGGCTCAAACTCTCGGCCTTCATTGAAACTATGGGGGTGGGGGGTGGACAGGGCATCGAACACATAACGACACAAAGAATACAAACACGAGTCACATTTACGCATTAAAAACAGTGAACTTTATTGAGATCGGTAAATTTGCTTTTAATTTTTTTCGTTGACGCACACATGTATACACGTTATGTATTTTTTTCGTTTTTTCCAAGACTGGAAGAACGCCGCGATACGTTAGACATCATGTGCTATCGACAGGCTCTACTCGAACGAATAAACAGTGCTACGTACAAAACAAGCAACGAATACATGCACAATCATCAGCCTGTACATACTTTTACATCACGAAAGTAGCAAAAAATAAAGTTTGATTAACGGAAAACTTCAATCAAGTAGCGTACAGACAAAAATGCAGACGATCGTCATGAAAGCAGTCGATAGCACAAAGGATCGCTTCGATCGCTTAATTTTCAGAAACTCCGGCTAGCACACGAAAATTATCGTAACTAATGCAACAATAAACTGTTCATTTCAATGTTAATGACTTTTTAGCTCACGATGTCCGTAGGTTACATGGAAATTTGCGATAGTTGACGGGGATCTCTCGCATTAGCGTTCAGGGAAGTAAACAAAGATGGCGGACGCGGCGTGGGTAGCAGTATCCCATCATACCATGCGGTGTTTTTTTCGCGGCACATTTGGCGTGTTGATGCGGCGATAGCGCCGTGTCGCAGTCGAAATAAACTCAAAATAATGGCGCAGTACACAAGTAGAGACATGGTTTTGATGATTAAAAAATGAGTTGTATGAGAAATTAAACGTTCTTGGAATAAACAGGCTAAAAGAACACAAAAGCATGCCGCATTTGGCGGCTATGAACCGGCTCGCGCTTCTCATTACGTAGTGCCGATGTGCGCCCGACCGCTCGATCAACGTAAATTTCGGCCTCCTTTGTGGTTCAAAACAGACAACTTCGTCCCTTTTGGCGGCTTGATGTCTTGATATAAGAAATTTTCCGCCGATTTTGGTGATTTGTTTGGCATGTTTTTGGTTGAAAATGTGTTGCAACTTGACAATTTTTTTTTCAATTAGCCGGCATTGGCTTTTCAAATAAGGGGCGTGATAAACAATGGTGTCAATGGGAAACGGTTTGGGTTTTCACAATTCTTTTCAATTAGCAGACTTTTTCTTATAAGCGTTTTGCAATTAACTGGCTGCCACTGTATTAATACATATATTTATGTATTAAATCATAATCTTTCAAAGCCAAAGGGTAGAATTTGAAATGTTTTGATCGCCATTTTCAAATCAAAGTAACTTGTATTAAATGTTGGTATCACATGAGTTATTTATTAGTTATTGCCATTTTGTTTATTTATTTACTTTGTATGAGTTACCTTATGTAATACTATAAAAATTATTACTTTGTTTTCATTTGTAAATAAGTAGTATTTATGTTATGACCCCCTGACACTCCTCCACGCTCGACCTCTATGAAAAGCGGCCGAAATAGCGGCCGATTAGAGCATGTAACACAGTTACAGATCGAGTTGAAATAAAGGCTCAAACAAACAAACAAACAAACATAATTCGGAATCAAACTATCGACAATTTCAAATTGGTTAACCAATAGCGTAGCCTTACCTGTTCATAGAACTCTGCAACAATCCGATTGGTCCACGTTATGTGCAGGTTTTCTGCCTTGCAGGGTCCGTTGACGTCCGCGAGCTTGATGCACATCTGCACCACGAGAAGCCGGTCATTCTCATTACGCCAGTCTATCCCGGGGGAGTCATCTTCATTCATCTAATTAAAATCATTTCAAAAATATCCTTGTCAGTTCCCAGACCTTTTGTTATGGAGCGTTTTCACTCGTTTTCCATTCGAAGCAAGCATGTGCTGACGGCCATATTGGTGTCCTATATTTGCATATCAGTGAATCGTAGTTCAAATTTTCACAGCTGCATTTCTATGTTTTAACAGAAAGTTTTTATGTTTACCGAAGGAAAACATATTGTTTTTGCTCCTCCTCTTCTTCTTCTTCTCCAAACACTGACCTCTGACCTGGTCAATGACCTGATTTGTTGATGTCTCTCACCGTAGTAACTGGTGTTGTGTTACATGATGTTGCAATTTTATAGCAGGAGGGATTTATACTCCTGTCTGACCATTTATATATGAATGTATTTGTGTAATTTTAAGTATTCGTTTCATATCCTATTCTTTGAGGTGTGGACACTAAATGGTAAATATTTGAGACGGTCAAACGGAGTAGATTATTCACTGGAATGCAAATTGGGACACCAATATGGCGGTGAACAATGGTGATGTCAAGTGAAAATGCTCTATGTGGTTTCTCTATAGGTGAGGGAAGAAATAACGTTCCTGTTAGCAAACAGAAGTGAGTTAAGCAAGAAAAAGAAGCTTCTTGTCAGAGAGGTTGAGTTACAAGTAAGCTAAAAAAAATCTACATGTACAAATGTAATAGCCAGTGACTTAAAGGTGGTAGACTTTTAGTTCAAAGATACACCAATGAAATGTAGTTAAACCGCTTCAAAGCAAATTTTAAAGAAACATAATATATAAATATATATCATATTGAATTTAATGTCTGATAGCATGTGCATTTTTAAAATTCAACTTCACAGGAAACTGAAAATAATCCAGACTAACTTGTACAAAAACCCAATTAATCAAAATCACGGCACCTGAAAAGTTCCAGCCTAGAACATGCCTGCATTGCTAGGCTAACACCAAGTTAACACCACATGCATCTATAGGGTAAGCTTAATTGCATATATATATTAATCGGTACCTTGCAGCCATTTAAGATGCATGTTTCACATTTAAAGCTTACGATGTACAGGCAATGTTTCCTCAATAGATAACACACACGTGCCTTAAATTGGCTTAATGTCATTCTGTGTACACTATTACTACTATTTGTCATTAAGTTTTTTTAAATTTTTATCTGTGTTGTTGTTGACAGTGTTTATATACACATATATAAGAGGCATTCAAAAGTGTTAGAAGACATCAGTGAACAGGTTTTAAACAAGGACTGACACATGCGAAAGTTAATTTAAGTGTTAGATACAAGCATTCTACTCAAACCTGCATTGGACCATCTTTTCCAGCTTTACGTCCTTATATCCTATTCTAGCTCCTCTAATTTCAGTCTGTCCCAAATTAAACATTTGAACCTCATGTCATTAATAATCAGCAACTGTGGCTAGTTAAGATTGGACATGAAGCACACACAAACACACAAGTCAGCCACCCAAAACAATACTTCCATACCCAAACGTATTGTTAGTTTGGGACCATTCCTCATTAGAGGCTGTTTAAGTGTGTATTTTTGTACCAGGAGCTAGAATAAGGATGGACGCTTGGCTGTGAATAACCAAGTTTAAAAGCAGCTAGAAAAATCTAAAGATGGTCCACAGGCAACTCCCATAGTGGTTATAGCACCGCCTTGACAAGGGAACGAGTGCTCACGTGAAAGAATGGACATAAACTGTTGGAGTTGGCTACAGACGCCTGAAATTAAAGGTGGAGAAAACAATAATTGCTGGTCTGTATTATTCACACAACATAGTACGATTAGTACAAGACTGCAAGAAAAAGTCAGAGGAAAAAAGGCCACTGCAACATAAATGCACAGTCACATAGTAAGAAATGATTTTTAGGCCTTTTAATGAGTGACTTTTGGTTTATTTAACCTTCTTCCTGCTGACTAACCCCGTTACCAATAGAGAATTGGTAGCCAAATGACTACTTTAGTGTGCTAATGGTTAAAATTATCACTGGTACTGTAGTACTCTAATATTGCACATGCTGTTGTAGTCTTACAGTTACTGTAAGGTTTGACTTGAACTCTCAGCTATATTTGTGATAGAATGTGTGCTACTAAATATTGTGTATTAAGCCAACAGAATACTACACCTCTTGTACTACTGAAATTTTAAGTCATCACTGATAACTGGAAGAAAGATGATCAAAGAAAAGTGAACAAAAAGGTACATTTAGGAGATAGCATGTGGGCTGTATGTACTATAGATACTAAATACTAAATGCTTTAACTGGTCTATCATACAGAAGACTACTGAAATTACTACTATTATTTGATATGTACTACTGAAATTAAATAAGTAAGTCATTACTAAGTTTAAGGGTGTAAAAAAGAGAATGAAAAGCTACATGTTTGCTACTTATAGGAGTAAATACAGTGATCATTAAATATTATTTTGTATTATTCAGAATGATGACAATCTGTACTACTGGAAATTAAGAGTCAATCAGCGATTTAATATTATATTAATTGGAAGACGAGTGATTGAAGAAAAGAGAAAAAAGCTACATTTTTGATAGCATGGGAGTTACTATAGGTCCTGGAGTAAAATAATACAGTGTATTAAATTAGTATCATGCAGAGGACTATCTGTACTACTGCAATTAAGAGTCAAAAACAGTGATTATTCGGAAAAGGGTGATCTAAGAAAAGAGAAAGAAAATTTGTAATTTTTAATAGATGTTAAGTGCTACTTTTGGTGTAAATACAGGGTATCAACTTGGTATCATAAAGATGACTAATATAGGATCTATGCTACTGAAATTAAGAGACAATCAGTAATTATTAGAAGAGTGATCATAGAAAAGTGAAAAAAAGCTACATTTTTATAGCTGTTAGCCGTTAAGTGCTACTAAAATACAGTGATCATTTGGTATCATACAGATGACTATCTGTACTACTGCAATTTGAAGTAAATCAGTGATTATTGGAAGAAGGCTGGTGAAAGAAAAGAAAAGAGAACAAAAAAGCAAATAAAAGGCACCTTCTCTTTAACCTCACTGAAGGAGCACTCAGAACTGGTTTCACTAGGAGTGTTCAAGGCTGCCAGCTGAAGGGAGAAAAGGTAACCAGTACATGAACACACTCAGGAGAAAACAACTTTTAGACTTTATTAGTCTGAAAACAAACTGGTTAGTATCAAACCTTGAAGGTGACACTGACACTCGAGTTAAAAAACCGGGGATAATTTTGTCAGGTTGGTAAGTAATCAGGAAATGTAGCCGACAGGTGTCCAAATCTATTTCAATAGCCGAGTCTCTTTCGTCCTCTCAGAGCTACATTGCGTACTTTACTTCCTCCTTTGAACTTCCTGTCAGTCTGTGGTTATGTCATTCCCCCCTCACTTTAAAGAAGAAGAATATCAGCTTCTATGTGTAACGTTACTGACCTAAAAAAATCCTGTTATCAAAGATGTGTATTAATAAAATTCTCTCCCAAATTAGAGGACTAAAAAGACTCGACAGCCGAAACAGGTTAGGACACCAAGCTAAAGGAAATGGGTTTTCAACATCTGTTTGGAGATTAGTAAGGCCAAAGGAAGTAAATTTCTAATTGACGTTTACCTGATTTAAAAATAGACACATTTTAAAAATTTTTTTCCGCTTTGATGATGGTCAACACGATCAAGGAATAAAAAAAAAGGGAAAATTTGGACTGGTAGGTAAAATGACATTATCATGTATTTCTTGTACTGTACTTCTAGAAGTGACACTAGTGAGGTAGCTACAGTTGTTGAAGTACTGTAAACCTATAGTTCAGTAGGTGTAGAAGTGCTATTACCATACGGTACTAGTGTAGTTGGCTTGCACGTGTATGTAACCGTTACATGTATGTATTGTAGAAGTCACTCACTTGTGTGGTAGCCTTAGTAGTTGCAGTAATACATGTACTTAAAATTAACCAAACCATTGTCACTTTTTGTAACTTCTTCTAAATACATAAATAAGACGGTAGCTATGATACCAAGTTTTGTCACTTTAATAGATGTAATTCTTGTTTTACTGTGGTCTCTTAAAAGGCTACTTGTAGAGAGAATTGGTAGCCAAATGACTACTTCAGTGTGCTATAATGTACTGACTCTAACATAACACACACTGTTCATACTAGTTTTCCTTCCATAACTAGAATTGTGGTTTTCACTGAAGCCTTAGCCGTACCTTTGCGTTAAACTCTGTGAGGAAGTCGAAGTGCCTCTTGAGGTCGGTGGCAAGAATGGCCTCGATGACGAGGAATCGGAAACGTTTGAACTCGGCGGTCTCCAGGTGACAGAGGAAGTTGAGCTCGGGTCTGAAGAGCAGCAGGGCCCAGGCCGCCGCCGCGTGGTGGTTCTCTAGGACTGACCGGTCATTGTACAAAACCGCCTGCAGGGAAACACACATTTTTACTTAGGCCACACCGACTTAATTTTATGGATGACATCCTCTGAAGACCCCCAAACTAGTGCGCGCACACGAATAAAAAAAATTCTGGCAAAAATAAAAATAGCTATAAA